AAATATTTATTTTTTAGTTATAGGTGGGCACAATATCTTTATTTTTTACTTTTATGTGGTGCTGAGGATCAAACCCAGATCCTCACACATGTTTGGTGAGCACTCTACCTCTGAGCCACAATCCTAGCCCCTCATAGAAGACTTTTAAGTGGGGCAAACAATTTTTTTTTTCTGGTACTACAGACTGAAAACAGGGGCACTTTACCACTGAGCTATATACTAAGCCCTTTTTATTATTTTAATTTTACGACAGGGTCTTACTAAGTTGCTGAGGCTGGCCTCAAACTTGTGATCCTCCTGCCTCAATTTCCTGAGTCATTGGGATTCCAGGCATGCACCACTGTACCTGGGAAAGGGACAAACAATTTTTAAATTTGATTTGACAGAAGCTAAGGCTCTACTCCTGGGGATTAGATAGAAGAAAAGATTATCATAAGCTGGACAAATAATCTAGAGCAATGCTGCCCAACTGGACCTGCTAAAACAATAGGAATGTTCTCTGTGTTACCCAATGTGGTGACCACCAGCCATGGTGACTACTGAGCTTTTGAATTGTGATAAGTGTGACTAAATTCTAGTTCATTTAAAATTCTAGTTGCCAACGAAGATGTTGTGTCTGCCGAGAACTAAAAAAAAAAATAAATATTAAAAAAAAATTCTCTCTCTCTCCTCTCTCACTCTCTCTTTAAAAAAATAAAATAAAATAAAATAAAATTCTAGTTAATTTAAAATCCGTTTAGCTTAATTAATTTTATTTAAATAGCCACATGTGGCCAGTGACCACTGTAATGGACAGAATAGGTCTAGAAGTCCAGCACATGCAGCTCCAGTTCCTTCAGTTCCTTGGGAGCTCTTGAGACTTAATGAGAAACTCTCAATGTCCTTATAATAGTATCCCTTTGCTGCCAGGTGCAGTGGCATATTCCTGTAATCCCAGGAACTCAGGAGTCTGAGGCAGGAGTTTGCAAGTTCAAGGCCAGACTCAGGAATTTAGTGAGACCCTGTCTCAAAATAAAAAATAAAAAGGCCTGGGGAAGTGACTCAGTGGTAAAGCACCCCTGGGTTAAATCCCCAGTACCCCCTAATAATAATGTCTGTTATTGTTTCATTTTTTTGTTTGTTTGTTTGTTTGTTTTTATCAGATATTGAACCCAGGGACACTTGGGCCACAGAGCTACATCCCCATCCCTTTTTATTTTTTATTATGAGACAGGGCCTTGCTCAGTTGCTGAGGCTGGCCTCAATCTTGAGATCCTCCCAGCCTCTGGAGTCACTGGGATTAGAGGCATATGCCACCATGCCCAGCTATCTGTTGTTTTCTTTTTGGTTTTTAGTACTCTTTTTTGTTCTGTTTGGGTTTTTTGGTACCAGGGATTGAACCCAGAGGGGCTTTACCACTGAGCTACATCCCCAGCCCTTTTAATTTTTATTTTGAGACAGGGTCTCATTAAGTTGCTGAAACTGGCCTCAAATTTTTGATGCTCCTGCCTCACAGCATCACAAGTTGCTGGGATTACAGTTGTGTACCACCACACCTGGTTGTCCCTCTGTTTTTTGATTAAACTAATCCAAATGGCTTTCTGTTATCTACAATTTCCCTCCTCGTACACATTCTTGTTTGAATTTTAAACATCTAAAACAAGAAGAAAGAAGCTGTTCTGAAGAAAGAAGTTGCAGGGTGCTCCCCTACAAAACGAATGGGTCTGGCCTGGCGTGGTGGAGCACATCTGTAATCTCAGCAGCTCAGAGGCTGAGACAGGAGGATAGAGAGTTCAAAGCTAGCCTCAGCAAAAATGAGGTGCTAAGCAACTCAGTGAGACCCTGTCTCTACGTAAAATACAAAATAGGGCTGGGGATGTGGGTCAGTGGCCAAGTGCCCCTGAGTTCAATCCCTGGTACCAAAAAAAAAAAAAAAGGAGAAGAAGAGGAGGAAGAGGAGAAGGAAGAGGGTGAAGAGGAGGAGGAGGAAGAGAAGGAGAAAAGCTGGACTGAAAAAGCTTAGTGGTAGAGTGCTTGTCTAGCATACATGAGGCACTGAGTTCCATATCCAGCACCTCAAAAAAAAAACATATATATATATATATATTTCAGAAATTTATTTAGCAAATAAAAATATTTGAGACAAACAAAAATATTTGAGACAAACAATCAAGAAGAGAAATATCTACTAGTGCATGAATACCAGGGCCCACAATGCCTTGTGCCCCGTGTCTACCAAAGACATCCAGAAATTGTTCTATGCCTCTAAGTCAAAGCCATAAACCTTGTTGCTTCTCACTCTCATTCTCTTCTGACCCCGCTCACCACCCAAAGCCTGCACCAGACCCATTCATTTTGTTTTTGTTTTTGTTTTTGTTTGGTTTTGGTACCAGGGATTGAACTCAGGAGCACTCTGTAACTTCTTTCTTCAGAGCAGCTTCTTTCTTCAGAGGCAGAGGGTCTCTCTCCCAACAGTAAGCTAGCATCTCTTTAGACTCCAACCCAGATCCTTCCCTCTGTCTGTCAGGAACCACCCTCCAAATGCCATACAATGTACAATACATCTCACTTAAAGTGAGGTGCTCTGGTGGTAGGGCAATTCATTTTTGAGATCAAACTGATGAGTCCTGAGGCAATTTCTGGCTCCAGTAGGTTGCAACTGTTTAGGGGATGTACTAGGGGAAAGTCCATTGGTGACCTGGTGCGTGTCTGGCTCCTGGAGACCAAGCGCTACCAGTAGGGATGGGTGAGTGGGGTGAGCCTATCTGGCAGAGTAAAATAAAAGGATGCGCAGTTACTCTTCCTGCCAGGAGGGGGAGCTCCAAGGGTATGTTTTGACCATACCACTCCAGAGCGGAGTCAGGGGGCTAGTGTTATTGCTCAGCAGTACAGCGCTTGCCTAGCATGTGAGAGGCCCCTGGGTTCCATCCTCAGCACCAGGTAAAAATGAATAAAGTAAAGGTATTGTGTCCAACTAAAAAGTAAGTATTAAAAAAAAAGGTTGGAGTCAGGATTTTCCCAACTTCCATCAAGACTCTCAAATATTCAGAGCCTTGTCCCATGGAGTAGCATGTGCATGCTAAACTCTCAGCCTAAGTTATTTTGGAACACACCAGACAGTCTCATTCTACTAAATCAGAGAGGCTGAATGTTATGGCAAAGGGATTAGAGTGACCAAATTTAGTAAATAAAACTATTTGAGACAAACAAAAATAAGGTTTTTTTCAGTATTGGGCATTGAACCTGGGATACTTTACCACTGAACTACATCTCCAGCCTTTCTTGTTTTCTTTTTTTTTGAGACAGGGTCTCATTAAATTGCCCACGTTGGCCAATCCTCCAGCCTCAGCCTCCCAAATCTTTGGGATTACAGGTGTGTGCCACTGAGCCTGGAAAACACAAATGATTGTTACCACATGTCCAAATTATTTCATGGAACATAGTTATATAAAAATTACTCATTCCCGATTCATATTTAACTAAGCATCCCCTATTTTATCTAGAAGAGGTTACACCTGTTTAACAGTTTTGGTTTTTTGTTTGTTTGTTTGTTTGTTTGTACCAGGGATTGAACCCAGGGATGCTTAACCACTGAGCCACATCCCCATCCCAGAGAAAGAGAGAGAGAAAGGTTCTCACTGAGTTGCTAAATTGCTGAGGCTGGGTTTGAAATCAATCCTCCTGCTTCGGCCTCCCAAATCGCTGGGATTACAGGCATGTGCCACTACACCCAGATGTTTAACAATCTTACAAACTAAAATGTGACTTTCCATGATGGCAACTATTCTTGTATGCAATACAGCAGATACCCAGCTTCTTTTCTGAAGAGATATATGACCCTGCCAAAAAGATCTACCACACAACAGCCCTGACCAGAGTGGGTGACTCCCATTTTCTGGGAATGCTCCTTTTACAAGGGATTGCAGCAGCCTGGCTGAGCATATACACCTTTGCCCTTAGCTCCCTGACATGGTTTCCCACTCCCTCTGTTCAGCACCATTTGATCACTTCGCTGAAAGACATTTTTTTTTTCAGTATTAGGGAACAAAACCAGGGCCTAGAGCATGTTAACAGTACACTCTACCACTGAGCTATACCCCAGGCTGGAAACAAAAATCTTTAAGGATTATCTGAAAAAAATATCTTTTTAAATTTCCCTCCCTTCCTTCCTTCCTTCCTTCCTTCCTTCCTTCCTTCCTTCCTTCCTTCCTTCCTTCCTTCCTTCCTTCCTTTCTTCTTTTTTGCAGCACTGTGGATTAAACCCAGGGCCTTAGCACATGCTAGGCAAGCACTTTTATCACTGAGCTACATTCCCCTTTCTGTCTTTCCCTTTTTCTGCAGTACTGAAAAACCCAGGGATGCTTTACCATTGAGCTATATTCCCACCCCCATTTTATTTTTTTACACTGGGAGACAGGGTCTCACTGAATCGCCCAGGCTGGCCTTGAACCTGTGATCCTCTTGCTTCAGCCTCCAGAGCTGCTGGAATTACAGGCATTTGTCACCACACCTAGCTAAGAAAATCTTTTTTTTTTTTTTTTCTAGGTCAGTGATAATCTTTTTAGTGAAAAGGACAATTCAGAAAAAGTAATGTTACCAGATTAAAAAAAAACTATCTCTTTTATCAGGAAATACAATACCAACAATTTAGATTAAGCATGCTTGCTTTCCCAAATGCCAAACAGCTTCATTCTTTTGGCTGAATTTTTAGAAACTACATAACATACATGCCCGGAGCTATCTGACGTAATGACTTACCCTTTACCAACATTTTTTGGCAGGGTCATATACTCTTCAGAAAAGAAGAAAACATTTTTGGAACTGAATCATTTGGGTTTTCCTTAACTGACCTAGAATTAATTTAGTTGCAAAGTGTATTTTGTCTTTTCTTATTCAGGTGGAATAGCTATACTGTACTGTGCATAGAGTATACTGATCTTAAGGGTACAGCTCAATGAAATTTTGTGCCATATCTATGTGCTTAACTACTAACTAGACAAGATACAGAAAGTTCCTCCATGTTCCTTCTAGTCACTTTTCCTCCTGTGACTTTGACCACCATTGATTAGTTTTGCTTATTCCTAAATTGCATGTAATTAGAATCATAATGCATGACACTTAATATTCATATTCATTGAACATAACTTCTGTGATTTTTTCATCCATGTTGTTGCATGTATCAGTAATTGTGTGTGTGTGTGTGTGTGTGTGTGTGTGTGTGTGTGTGTGTGTGTTAGGTCTTGCTATGTTGCCAAGGCTCACCACAGACTCCTGGGCTCAAATTGTCCTCCCACCTTGTCCTCCCTTGTTGCTGGGGTTACAGGTGTGTGCTACCGTGCCCAGCTATAATTTATTTTTTTGTATTTTGGTACCAGGGATTGAACTTGGGGGCACTGAATCACATCCCCAGCTACGTTATTCCATTGTTCAAATATACCACAATTTATCAATTTTCCTGTTGCTGGACACTTAAACTCTGGGTTTTGGCTCTTCTAAATAAAGCAGCGATGACACTATGCTATGCACATATCTTTTATGTGTGTGATAACTGGGGACCTGATCCCAGGGGCACTTTACCACTCAGCTACATCCCCAGTCTTTTTTAAAAAATTGTGATACAGGATCTTGCTATATTGTCCAGGCTGGCCTCAAACTTGCCATTCTTCTGCCTCAGCTTCCCAAGTACTTGGGATTATGGGCATGTGATTGCACCCTGTCACATATCTCTTTTGATGTGCTAATTTTTTTGAGTCTACAGCTAGGAGTCTGATTTTTTGGTCATAATATATGTATATGTTTAGTTCTAATCTCTTCTGCCAAATTGCCTCTCTTCTGCCAATTTACAGCCCTCCCCACCTCCTAGCATTGTGTGAGAATTTCAGTTGCTTTCTGTCCTTACTGATATTTGATGCTGTCAGGCTTTTCTTTCCCCCAGTATTTTTATTTGTTTCTTATTTATTCACTTTTTGCAGTGCTGGAGATTGCTCATGCTAGGCAAGTGCTCTACTTCCAAGCTACAGCACCATCCCTAGCCTTTTTAATTTTATCCATTCTAGTAGGTGTGTGGTAGTTTAAATTTGCCTTTTCTGCAAGGCATGGTGGCATACTCCTGTAATCCCAGTGATTCAGGAAGTTGAGGCAAGAGGATCACAACTTTGAGGCCAGCCTCAGCAATTTAGTAAGACACTGTGTCAAACTAAAAAATGAAACAGGCTTGGGATGCATTTTCTCAGGTGATATTTTTATATGCATATTGGCAGTCTGGTTATCCTCTCTTTATACTATTGAGACACACCCACAGCCCAGGTATCCTCTTTTTGTGACATACCTTTTACAGTCAGTAGTAGCTCATCTCCATAGATGACCCCAACTGAATCATGCCTCCTAGTACTCCTGCCCTTTATAGCCTCCCCCTCTAATTGAATCTAAACTGCGTTGTGAGTTGCTTTACCAAAAAGACTGCTTCAGAAGTGACTCTGTGCTACTACCAGGCCTGAGCCTTAGGAAGACATGAATTCCAGCTGCTCTGCCAGACAGACTGTGTGGAGTGAAGAGACTTTGAGATTACATGGAGTGCACAGACAGAAGAGACTTTGAGATTACATGGAGAAGGCAAATTGCCAGAGGTTTTTAGCCCCAGCATCCTTAAAATCAGAGACTATTTCCTAGTTTTAGGCAGAGAAAAAGGTGTAAACACAAAAGAATCGTCAGAGAAAGCCAAATGCAATGGTGCACACCTGTAATCCCAGCAGCTCAGAGGCTGAGGCAGGAGGATCGCCAGTTCAAAGCCAGTCTCAGCAATTTAGTGAGGCCTGAGCAACCAGAGAGATCTTGACTCAAAATAAACATAAAAAGGACTGGTGATGTCACTCAGTGGTTAAGCATCCCTGGGTTCAATCCCTGGTACCAAAAGAAGAAGAAAAAGGAGGAAGAGGAGGAGGAAGAGGAGAAAAAACAGAATCAGAAGGGTGAGGGAGAAACAATGCTTGCTAATGGCTCAGAAGTTGGAGAAATGGGACCAGGAACCAATGAATAAGATCAACCTCAGAAGCTGGAAATGGCAAAAACGTATTCTGTACCCTAGGGCCTCCAGGAAGGAATACAGCCCTGTCAACACCTTGATTTTAGCCCAGTGAGACCCTTATCAGACTTTTTTTAATGTTAATCTTTTTTTTAGTTGTGAATGAACCTTTTTATATATATATGTGGTGCTGAGAATAGAACCCAGTGCCTCACACATGCTAGGCAAGTGCTCTACCACTGAGCTACAACCCCAGCCCCTGTGTCAGACTTTTAATTCTCAAAATTGTGAGATAATAGATTTGCATTATTTTTTTTT